TTTTTCTGAGTACTTAGGGCTTTTGCAGAGGTCATCAAGAGGGCTGCTGTACTTAACTTGAACACTGACTGGAACCATTTATTCTGCCCACATGAATTTAAAAAAAGTATATTGGCAGCTTCTGTTTGAGGAGAGTTAAACGTAGCAGTACAGAAAACATTGTTTCAGCGAGTCACCTAGAGTTCTCTTCCGTAGCGGGTACCTTTCCTAATTTAACGCTTTTTCTTCTACTTTTTCCTTTACTTTTTCAAATGGATAAGGTGAAGTTCTGAGTTGCCTACTTAGGGTTTGTGGAGGTAATTTAAAAGAAAGTGCTTCCATTTAATTATAATTAGAAATACTAGCTTTGCTCATGATAGTTGTATTATTATCCACTAGACTTGTGTAAGTACAGGGAAAAGAGTACTTCAGAAAAAATTGTCTCTTTATTTTTGGTTCAGTGTTGTTCACGTTCTGTTTTTCCATTGATGTTTTTTCTGTTTCAGGGATTTTAGATTTTCTGAACAGAAAAGAGATGGATGCAACTGTACAGTGTTTTCTAATCTAACATGTGAACACATGTAGTCCTGACATTGTCCTTTTTAAACCCCAAAGCCTAGTAAGGGGTTACAAGGATGTATCCCACTGTTCAAAATATCTTGGAGGAATATTTTTGAACTGAAGTTACCAATCTGTAGCTGCTTGGAAAGAAACTGGCAGAACATCAGCTATCCAAGCTAAGACTGCTTTTTGCTCATTGTGAATCTGCACAAGGAGGGGGGGAGATTACATCTTTCAGGTTGGAACAATGGCAAAATATCATTATTTTTTTTTGACTTGACAGTCTGCCAGCTTAAGTCCTTGAAACTTGTAGCTTTCCCTGTGTTTTAGCAGGACGCATCAAGCCAACTCAGCATTTTATTTTTGAAGTAAACGTTTTCAGTGGCTGAACTTTCAACATAAATGTTTAAAGCAGCAGCTTAAATAGAATCCTAATTTCTCATTTTGCAGCCAGAGCTCCCCCCCTGTTGATTAATATATAGGCTTCAAATTGAGATTTCTCTTCAAAGTAGCTATCTAAGGTCTTAATATCGTGAGAACAAATCAGTGCTGCTGTGGAAGGAAGCAGTCTTGCCCTGGCTGCTGCTTCCTCCCTCCTTATCCGCTCCTCCCTTGTGTTAACGTGAATGTTTATACAGAAGTCATAAACCAGATGGAGTAAATGATTGAGACTTTTTCTGAGAATTCATTTTAATCTGGATCAGTTCCCTGAGCTGGTTGACTGAGCAGCCGTATGGTGTACAGACCACTCCTTCACCAGCACAGGTGGCCAGGAAGAGGCTGATGCCATTTCTTCTGGTTGCAATGCTGACTTAGCCAATTTTGTGTGTTGTTGGAATTACAGCTCAGTATCCTTTACCTCTTCTTGGCAGGTCTGAGTTCTGATTTGGGGGTTCAGACCTTCAGATTCTTCTCCCTACGCAACTGCACTTCCAAATTATCAGAGCCTGCTAGGAAAAAAAACCAGTAGCACTTTGCCCTAATAAGGCTTTCATGAACACTTGAGACACTTGGCCCCTTTACCTTGTCTAGTTAAAAAACCAACAGCCATCTCCTCCTTCCAGCCCTCCAAATCCAAATCTTCAAGCTGCCTGCAGTGAGCACGTTCTTGTGTGTGTGTAGAAAAATGCATGATTCCACTTAAGCCAGCATATTCCTTGTTTTTTAAGAAATGTTGTCTCTAGTATTACAGTAGTAATTAATTATTTCTGGAATGTGTATTGGAAGGGAGGAAGTTGCTTTGTAATCCTTAGGATTGCCCTTTCTTCCTTCCTCAAGTGGGTTACTTTAAACAGTAGGTGTTTGCCAGCCTTATTCATTTTGACTGAATAAGGTTGAGGAGTGCTTATGTGAGCAGCCTTGTTAGTGCATCCCTAGGAGCAGTAGCCTATAGCAGGCATTTGGCAATGTGCAGATAGAACATTAACCTCTTCAGCAAGCATACCTTAATGGAAGCAAATGTCTTTAATAACGGAGCCTCTCATCACTGCTAAGAGAATCATTTTAAAGTAAGGAACAATCCAAATAGAAGTGTAGTCTCCCTCCGTTCCTTTTTACTTCTACCTCCATGGTCCAAGGTGATGTCCACCAGTGTCACTGAATGTGTTAGCCTGCTTGCCCGTGTAGGCTCATGCTAGCATTGAACTAAACAGTGTGCAAGGAGCAGAGAGACTGTGATTTCTCTCCCTCCCATCTTTTCCCTCCCCTTTCAGGTTATTGGTTTTTTGACTTGTAAGAATTGTCTGGTTTTGTTTTCCTTCAATGTTTTGTCCTTGTTATCTTTCCATGTTTTGAAGCTATCCTCATATGAAAATACCAAAACAAAGAATCTTGTAGATTCTTGTTTTTGAAATAAGCATACTATACCTGTTTTGTAAGGTGTCATACATTATGCAGTGTATCAGCTTTTGTGAAGATGGTACGTTTTTAGGAGTTAATATTTTGAATGTAATTTACCGTATCAACTAATTTTTAAATTGGGTAACACTGTGAGAATGAAACAAGTGGGCAGTCTTTAGGATAGAGCACAACCTTGGCTTTGAATGTTCCTCCTAGGAAGTGACAGGCAGAAAGCTCTAGCTAGATCTTGTGACACTTCTG